AGAAAAGGAATGTCGATACACAGGTTGGAAGGTATGTGATGTGGAAGATGCACTGGGTAAGTCAACAGATCAAGCTCACTCATATGTTAGAAATGTGTTGCCTTTTCAAAGTATGGTACATCCATACTGTATAAAATTAAAGCACCAGCCATATCTGTTCCTTTCCTTCCTAATCTGTACAATAAAACAACACATGAAGTAAAGAATGTAAATATTTTCATTCCTGACTAAGGGCTTGTATTCTATTCAATGTTTGCAGGTAAAAAAAAAGGAATTACTGTTGTAGAAAGCAACAGATGCACTTGAGATTGACCACTACCCATTTTCAGGGTTAATGTTTGTGCCTGATGGTCCCTTAAAAAGAACTGTGCAATCAGATATTGATTGCTAACGTTGTGTGTGTACGCTCACCCATTTATTTTTATTTCCTTGTACCTTGCTCCTCAGCCTGATGATGCATTGCATGATAAAATACACTGCTGCAGTTGACTGCTGTGAGAACAAGCTAATCATTTACAAGTGGTATCTTCAGCAAATGGTACCATTCTGGAAAATAGGACCAGCCCTTCCAGCTACTGCTTTGTGGCACAGGATTTTCCATGACTTTTTGTGGAACACAAAAAATTACGTTAGTTGTAGTGTCATTTCTTCTTAAAAAAAAACGTATCAAAAATAGTTTTCGTTACCCAAAGGTATCTTTTCCCGATAAAATATAGAAACAGTACATACGTATCTCCTTAGAGGTTACATATTCCAGAGTTCATGTGATCGTCAGTGGTTATCTTCTCATATTACAAATACTTCGCAGGGTTTGTTCTTCAAATATCTATTTAGCATTCTTGAGAGTATCTTTCTCTGCCAGTGTATGCTCAAAAGATTTGTTACTTTGAGTCAGCAGCTGATGGATTTGGGTTTGATGCCAGAAAAGTTTTCTTGATTTTCTTCACTTTATCTATTGAGAAGCCAAACCATAAAATCTGGCAATGTGCACTGAAGCACAATGCAGACCTCATATTATTTCTGTGTACACTATTTCAACTCTATGCACAAAAAATCTTATTTTATATTCCTATTTTCCCTTTGTTATACAGTACGTTACATTTCTGCAAAACATCTCTTGAGATGTGTTATGCATCAAATTCACGGAAAATAATTCCTTGATGTATTTCAACACTGTGACTTCCAGTTACAAAAAGAATACATTTAGATTACGCTACTCTCTGCCTATAAGCTTAAATCCTTTTCCATTAACTACCAAGAAATCATTCTAATCTTTATTTTTCTGTTATTAAAAAACATTTTTATAATATACTCTACTGCAATACAAGTTATACTGGTAATGCATAAATGTGAATATAACAGTAACAAATATAAGAATAATTACAAATGAGAGGAGGGTATTTGTAATATTTAGCCTGTTTGTTAGTCAGTAGTAAATTGATCCAAATATCTTATCCAGGAGTTTCTTGAAAGAATCCAGGGTCCCAACTTAACCAATAAATACTGTAGTTTGTCCACATTCTCACTCTTTGAGTACAGAAATGCATCCTGTTCTCCTTTTAATATAGTTTCTTAAATTGAGTAGTTTAAGTAGACCAGAATCCAGATAACTGATGTAAGTTAAAAGCAGTAGTGATTGTAGGTAATGTAGCTCAGATTCCATTTAGTACTTACTGTATTAACCAATTAACCATTAGTTGTTTCTTGTTCAAAGAATTCTTACAATTTGGTAAGATCTATGCCATAGATGATTTAAATTATTTTTTTGAGTCATGTACTACAAGCTCATTGCCTGGAGGAAGGCAACCATCAGGCCTGGGACTCTAGAGGTTTTTCCCCCACTGGGAGTTTGTTTTCCTCCCCTTCACTTGGTTTGCTGTTGCTGTGCAATATTGTCATCTCTATAAAGAGCTGGGATGAAGAGTGGCAAACAAGACTCCATAACAAAAGGATGGATTGGTTGATTGATTAAAATGCATTACCCAAAAATGATACGCAAAAGATATTTTGTACAAAATGGGAGCTGCTGTCTGAAGTGGCTCAGGTCAAGAAAAAATATCAAAATGTGCAAATAGTCAGAAGAAAGCAAGCATCTACTTTAAAAAAACAACTCCTCTTCATTCTTGAACCTCCCATAAAACTAACACAAATATGAGAAGGATAAATTCTTTGTGGCCTCCTCTTTCTTCCTTGTGCAAAGAAGCAGTATGCTTTCAAATTCTATGAATGAGATAGCACAACTCTGGTTTACAAGACTGAAGCCTATTGCTGGCTGACTGTGAATGAGAAAATCTTATGAAGTAGATCTGCTAGGATGTTTTTCACATGAATTAACCCTGGATACGTCCACAAAGTCATATTTAGGCTAAGATCTAGTAAGTGTCCATTTCACAGCTGACCACAATGTATTGTATTGACCCACTCATATTTTACAAGTGTTATGTGTCCTTCCAAATTAAGCTGTCCTTTCTCATAAGACTGGACAGACACCCTTAAAGAAATGTCCTATAGTATACTAGCGGGATAAAAAAAATTAAAAAACCTTAACTTAATTCTGAACTAATTCTGTGCACAGTCTAAAGTATAGTATCTGACACTGATATGATATAGAGTAATGTAAATGAGATACAAAGGTTTTGATTTTCAAAATATTTTTATTTATTTGTTCATCCATAAATGGAATACTTTTGTTATACAGCTACTGTACTTATTATATCACAACATTAGCAGCAACAGTTTCACTTCTTGTTCAAAATGTTTCCGTGTATAATTCAAGACCAAGGAATGTATTATTATTACACACTAGAAAAAAACTGGACTGGAATTGATGTAGCTGCCATGTCTTTTTAAATTGATTCACCTTGACTCTCAGACAACAGAAATATGAATTTTGTACTGCATGTACTGTAAATGTACTTCACCTACAAAGCACAATTTATAAACAGAATTAACTTTTTTTTGCAAATGGCACATTCATTAATATTCTAATGCATTTACTTTCTTTGTAAATTATACGTTAAGAGCATATAGTACATTGCATATGGAACCAATCTGAATTTTGTCTCTTTTCTCTCAGGCAGTCAGATTACTCTGAAACATCAGTCATTACTTTAATTTACTTTGTGGCTGAAAATTACATTGAATTTGTGACCAACACAAACTTGTGTTAAAGATCAAGTACATTTTAAGTCCAATCTGAAGAATTGTGACACTACAGTGAAATCAGAATATATGCATAGCTTTAAAAGCCCAATTGTAAATTCTCATTATTCATGCTAAAATTGTACATGCTCATTACCCAAGTGATTCTTTCTGTTTCTTTTCTTTTTTTTCTTTAATTTAGCAGTCAGGGTCAATACTAGAGAAGGCTGCTGGAAGTATATTATTGATCTGCTTTTGCGGGGGTGTAGTTGGATCAGACATTTATAGTTATTGCTTCTGATTAATCATAGCCTTGACACAGCTAAGCAGGCTCAGCAATTCTAATGTGCTTGCTTTGTAACACAGCCAAGCTGAAAAAGAAGTACATCCTCTCAGGAAATATTTTGTTCTGTGATGATTAAGAGCACAACCAGGGCATGGAATATAAAAAAAAATATACATGTACTGTATGTGTGTATTTGTATATGTTATGGACATAGACTTTGCATTCAGTCCATAATAGACATTTACATTTATTCTTCTCAATTTTTCATTATTTCATTTTGAAGTTGTATGAATCTGGAATTGGCCCTGTTTTCAAAATCTCTTTCTCAGTTCATGATCTGGAGAAATCTAAGACTGAAATTTTCAGTGGTGTTTGTCACAATAATAAATGTCATAAATGTGGGTTCAGCTTATTTTATCGGAAGGTTGTTTTGTATGCTAAGTAAACAATTATAAGTCTAAGTGCTTGTGGAAATAATATAACCTCATTTATACAGAAAAGCTTCCGACTAGAAACAATAGCTGCATTACTATAATTTCTTTTTCCTTTTTAGTAAAGAAACATTTTGTATTTTTAATTTTATTTCAGATACTGAATTTCTTGGAATCCCAGAAGTTAAATCAGTACGGACACAAAAATGCAGAAGCCTAGATGAGAACAATATTGTCATATCATCTCATTTACTGGTTGGGCCTCTGTCATCATACGTCCAAGATGGGCTTCTTAAAGAAGATCTACAAGCAACTAGACAATTGTCTGCCAAGTGTTTCTCATTTGAAAGCTGCTCCACAAGAGCTCTCAATGTTCACCAAGACAAACAGTTACAGAGCACACCCAACACTGCAATTAGAATAGATTCATTCCTTCCAACAAAGCCAAGAAGGGCACACAGGTGCAGGAACCCCAGTGATACTTCCTTCAAATTTTCAGAGATTAAGCAGATCCTATCTCTGACACATGGTAGCTTATCAACCCCATTTACCCAGAAAGCTATGCAAACTGCTATCAGCAAAGAAAAAGATGCCAAAATAACATCACACCATCTCACCTATACCGATTGTGCATTTCAGGGATTTTCAGCAGTGTATCCAAAAGAAACGGTACCAACCACACTTCAGGACTTTAATCACAATAATTTTTGTGCTGACCATGCCATGCTAAAGTCTGCATCAGGAAGCAGCATATCTGATGAAATAAGAGCACTAAGCAATACTTCACAAAGCTGCACTTCCATGATTCTTGGAAATAAGTTTAATGTAGGTGACCAAATAAAGATCAACCACATACAGCACCTGTTGGACCCTGGAACCTCAAGTTGCTGCAGTCTAAATTGCTGTTTGGGTTCTTTAGTGCAGGCCATGGCTCAGTACAACTTACAGTGCATGCCTTCTTCTTTGCAAAGGGTAGTGATTAAGAGATGTCATCCAAACAAAGGCCAGCATCCCACCAGGCAAAGAGGGAGAAACATGTCATACCAACAGAATCAACAAGTGATTGAAATACCCTGGAGGAGAGTTCAAAGGGACACAGCGAGATTCTCAGAACAAACCATTGGCAGTGGAAAACAGAGACCTGAGGCTATGGTAAGCATATGTTTCTTGTGCATTGACATAGAACCTGACAGAGCACAGGTACACTTGAATAAACTGCAACTTTTCTATTTATTACTGAACCACAAGAAGGAGAACATGAAAGCAGTATGTCAGTGTGAATGTCAACAGTGATATTTCCCAATGGTCCATGCATGCGACATACAGTAAATATGGATCACAAGGTACTGTATAACGCACTAAACTCACAGATGAAGGAACACCTCGGATAGTCTGTAACTAATTCTCATTGGGAGTCATTTAAATATTCTTTAAAAACAATTCTTTGTGTGTATTTCTTCACATGCACATATTTTATGGTATTTGTACTTTCTGTGACCTCTAAAGTAAGCTTCATGGTTTCCTAATCAAAAGGTGGAATTCTTCAGCAGATTCATACCTAAAAAGTAAATTTGGGCTGATATTGATTAGGTACAGTATATAGGAATAGAAGGCTAAAGTAAAAAAAAATCATGCATTTCAAAACAGTTTTTTTTCTTTGATTAAAGTCATTGTGCACAGGCACTTTCATAAATCTATCCTGGACTCCATTTCTTCTTGAACAAACAGACACTCCCCCCAGTGCAGCTGAGATCAGGGTATGATTAGCAGAGTGTAAAATACAAGCTGTCATTCTCCATTTAAAACCCTTTGGAGATTTTGCATAGATTAGAAATGTATTACGTGATTAATGGAAGAATAAGTATCTTGAAAAAAAAAACGTTCTTTATAAGTTGATATTGTCAGTGCAACACTTATAACAATCAGCAACTCAAGTAAAAATCCTTGGATAATAAATGTTATTAAATATACCTTATATATATATAAAGAACAAATATATTTTGATCATTTTGATTTATTGATCAATAATGACCACAATTCAATTGAGTGGCATTTGTTGCATAAACACTACATCCCATAGTTTGAGAATTGTTTAAGCACAGATCATAAAATGATTTAAGCTCCTGATTTTTAAGACAGATGTAAAATGTAAACAGACAAAGCAAAACACAGAAAGGAAACAACATATCCCTGTTATCAAAAGATCCATGCCTTTATATTATCAGCATGTTGGATGCTAGACTAAGTGCATGCACTGTCACTCACTGTCGGGAGTGTTCACAACCAGCTATTTCTAACTTGTCAAGATATTACAGCCCAACACAGACCATGAATTACAGGCCACGATCTGGAAGACCATAAGTCACAAGTCAAGTGATTGGGGGGGGGTCTAAGTGTAAGGGTCTGGGCAGATACAGTATATCTCGTCAATACAGACGATCCCCAAGTAGTGATTTATGGTAACCTGACTCCATGGTTCTACATTAAACATGCAATCTCACTTACTGTCCTTCCTGTAGGCTCATACTAATGTAGTAAGTGTTACAGCGGGACAATATACATCTTTATGCTGCTTGTGTAACAATGGCTTTCTTGTGAGATGAGAATGCAACAGTTAATACATTTAGTAGTAGAAGATAATTTAAGAATCTCATGCAGCTGCCTCTTGAGAGAAGGCTATCACAACATTTTATGTATGTAAAGTACTTCCTGTTCTCATTTAAAATGCATTTCCAATCAGTTTTCTCGTGTCCTCTGGGTCGTGTTTTCATTTTGATTCTGAAGCAGTGTGCCGAGTTGACATTTGGCTCAGCTCCCCTCCTAGTTTTCTCTCTTCAAGGCAAAATATTCAGTTGTTTTAGTCTGTCAGTGTAGAATAGTCATCTAAGCCCCTGTTTGCTTTTCTCTGGACTGATTCAAGAGCAACAGTACATTTTTGTAATATGGAACATTATATACTAATGGAGTAAGTAAAGGTTTATTCCATGCTGAAAAGAGAGGAAAAGAAACACAACATTTTGGCTGTGGAGCCTTCTTTGGGTGTGTCACTTAGTGGCTAAGTACTTGAACTGTATTATATACTGTACTAATGTTTTGTTTACCTTTTTATTGCTTCCCAACATTGACTAGAAAATGTAAATGATGGTGAGGATGGGCAGGGATGACATCTGGAGTTTAGGGATTTAGAGACCAGTGAACAGTCACGTGCTTGGCCAGGCTCTAAGACAGGAATTACACAGAATATCACAAGACCGCTTCGGCAACCTAATGCAAAGCTTGCATCACAGATGTACAGTACAGCTTTTATTACTTCCAACATTGACCATGCACTCTATCAACTTGTGGCTGTTACAGAATAGTCCCTGCTGATCAGCCCCATTGGTTACAAAGAGAAATTACTTACAAATACTTTCTATTTTTTGGTATTTTTCATAAAGGATCTTTTCTCGCTCACAAATGAAATCGGAAAGCCTTGAAGAAAGCAATTCTAAATTAACTAGGGTCCAGGGTAATCAATGACTAGCTTGCAGGGAAATGACATTTTTAAAATGCTTCACAATGCTATTCATTTCCCTCTGAGGCTTCACTTTCCACCCAGGGTATTCTGTGATGAGCCTTTTTCCCCTGCAGAAAAAAAAGTCAATTAAAAAAAAATAATCTGTGGAATCAAATGCAGTTCACATTTGAAAAAAGGGTTCTCTCCTTCTCTAAAAAAGTTCTTCCGTCAAGGGAGGAAATTAACTTTTGTCCCTGGTTTCTGATACCTCGTCCCTTTTCTTCTTGTTTGATTTACGACAGGAGAGATTTTGTGAGCCAGACTCCCAGCGTTACCAGACTGCTGCAGAGCCTGAGATGCCAAAGAATTGTGTCACAGTGCCACTTATTCTCCAGGTTATTAGAGAGAGGATGAATCAAGCCTCTACAGAAAGAAGTTCAATTCACTAGTTAATTACTTTTACTTACCTTTTAAGGAAATTCCTTTTTTTGAAATTGCTGTAGATTTTAAACTACCACTAAATGATAAACCCTAAAATATCACTATAATGGAATATTCTGCTTTTTGGTCATATCTTTTCTTTTTTTACTATGATGTTTAGTGTAATCAGATATATTATTTTTTGTAAATAATCATATTTCTGTATAGCAAGGTCTATATATATATATGTTAATAAACTAGGATTGACTAGGGCTAATAAGGGAACACAAAGAAATAGCTTGAAATTGAAAGATCCCTCTGCAATTAAACTCACACAACTTGATAAAATATTATGGTGTAGTTTTGTTAACTTTATTGTGCAAGTATAGTTTATCTTCCTATTTACTGATAATGTTGATATTAACACTAATACCTATAGACAACGTACACAATTTCTTCTAGATTTTTTATTCAAAGAAATCTTCAGACGATGTAATTTTCTACAGTGTAAAAGGTAATGACTTCTTAAAATAACAAAGGAAAGAATATATGTAATAATTGTACAACAATGTGAAATCCAGAATTTTAACAACAGAGTTACAAAATCATTGGCTATCCAGATGATACTGTAAAGGTTTAAATAATGCAAAATAAATCAATAAAGCCATTTCCTTGATTCTTTAAACAGATGTGATACATTAATCCATTAATATATTAATAACATATATTAGTCCTAATATCTGTGATACAAGCAAATTCTGGTTCAGCGGCTGTAATATAAAATTCCATGGAAAAATAAACATTTTATTCAAAGATTAGAGCCCAGAAAGCTGCTTAAAGTCATAAACTGCCATCAAATCTCAGCATTAACACACTTATCACTTAAATTAACAGGTGCTGAAGTACGCTTAATTCAAATGCAGAAAACCACAAAGCAAGCAAGTGATTTTCATGCAAAAATTCTTATTGTTTCTATTACTCATAGTCACAATCATAGTAATTATCATGTAGTGTACATGGTTCTAAAAGGGAAAAGGAGCAAGAGGGGGGAATGATGCATTTAATTTTTAGGATATTGTTAATTATTCTGGCTATTGTGAAGCAGCTCAGAAGATATTGAGAGTAGAAATCAGCTTGGTTAAAGGTGCAAGTTATATTCTTAATCTAATCACCTCCTGCCGAGAGAAGTTTAATTATAGTGATAATATTCTTTGATGATATTCTATGATTTGTGCCTCTCTGGGGAGTTATTATGAAGCCTCAGCACTGTAGTCAGCTATTGTTTACATTAATGGGCTAGAAACCACAAATGTTACTGCTCTGCAGATTACTCTGATAATGTTAATAGAATTTGGGGTTTACATTGCATAATATTCAAAGGACAGTAAGTAACAAAGCATATTTGATGAATAACATATTCATCAAAAATACAAAATTAACTGTATTGCATCCACGAAAGCATTGCACAGTTTATCTCACAATGCTATTTTAAGGTTAATTTAAGCCAGTCATTTTTTTAAATAAAAACCTTTTATTTGGCTTTTACCAGGTTACAGAATGTTAACAATGATGTAATCCTCAAGGGCCTGTCATCTGTCCCTACGTTGAAAAAAACAAGGACAAACAAAAATATAAAACCTGAACTAAACATTGAAAATATTCACTGTTCTTGCAGACTAAAAAAACAGCACATGAAAGGTACCGACAATGGGAATGTCATTTGGCCTAACTAGCTCAAAATGGGTTAATATCATTTGTTTTCTAAAGGTCCCTGATGTTAACGAGTTTTGTGAATGTTTGTGGAAAAAGTAGCATTCATACTGAATATATTATTGTATATAAACATAAATTTTAATTATATTACTGTATACTGCTCAAACTAAAGCAGAAAACTTTAGACTATTTCAAAACCTACTATTAAGTGAATAATATTATTATTATTTAGATACTATCGATATCTTAATTGAGAGACACATCCAGAGAGAGAAAATCTTATTAAATGCAAATTTACGAATGCTCAAGTCCTTTCAGCAACAAACAGACAAGAAAGAGGCCAGCTAGTGCTCAGTTATATCTCCTGGTACATTCAGACACAGCCTGATGAAGACGCTGTGAGATCCCATTAGGCATTGAACTACCTCCAGAGTGGTACCATCCCTGACCATGCTGATGACCTCTGACAGGTTCCGAAAACACCTACTGTAACACAATCTGAGTCACTGTTTACTGCTCCTACAACAACACCACAACTACAAATCCACATACGATATAAAAGTGACCAAGAAGGTAGGGAACTGGAACATTATATTATATATGAGTGCCTGTAAATCACAACACCTGGTGACTTCAAATCATGCTGAGTTAGTTTCAGTAGCCTATTGGTTCATCCATGAGCAGTGACCTTACTATACTGTACATGTTGACCAACTCATGCTGGCTATCTCATGTTACAGTAGCTCTGTTGTAATATTTCTATCATGTAATCCTTTAATTGTTTGGAGCACTCAACATATAACATATTTTATTTACTTACAGTATTAAGGACCTGTCTACCAATGAGTATGAGAGTAAATTATATTTCTCAGAAATAGTTTTGAATATAATTGTTTCCTCTAATCTAAAAATGAACACATTTATAAAAGGTCTAAACTTGTCTAAAACCCTCGATCATATCATTTCTTAGTAGGGGATAACAATAATGGTATAAGGAAAGAAGACGTTTGGTGCTCTCGGCACATAAAACAACAAAACCTTTCCAAATATGAAGGGTGACATTAAAAAAAAGTCATAATAACTACTCTACTTATGAAGACAAAAAGCAGTATCCTATGAAAGCATTATGTATCAATATGCTTTTTTGTGGAATGTTGATATGTATTGTAATACTAATTAAACAGCATAATGACTTTTAATTTACCAAAATAGATTGTTTTATATATTATGAAGGTGTATAAAAAGTAAAATTGTACCATACATAGTGAAATAATGCTTATCCTCTGCCAACAACGAAAGATGAAATTTGACACATCAAAGAGAAAAGCAGCATGGACAACAGAAACTGTTAAAAATACCTTAATGTTATTACTAGAGGACAGATCTTTTGACACAGTAACATGCCCTGAGTAACTCTGCATGTACTGCAGGAATATTGCAACAGCCTATGAACTCCAGTTTGCCTGAGCTCAATCAGAACAGCTCAAGATTTCTCCAAGCAAAAAATACTGATTGTCTACTGCAGCCAAACCTTCATTAAGCTGTAGGCTGTAGCTGTAGGCTTAAGTCCTAACAGCCTCATGGCCTTTTCACATGTACCATCTCTAATTTAGGATCTATAAATTGTGTATGTAGCCAAACAGAAACATAAATACAAATCTTCATTTTCTTGTTTAGGGTACTTTAAAACACTTGTGTCTTAAATGACATATTTTGTATAGAGTGACTATGTTCAAGATAAAATGTTTTGCTTATGACAAACATAAACTCAATCTTTCCTATTAACCTACTGTACAGCAATGGATAGTTTCTGAAATATACCAAGAGGGCATGTAACTGAAATTACATTAAGGGTATAGATCACAAATGTCCCATGTACTTTTCTATGAACAATTGCTTTATATATAAAAAAACAGGACAGTAATAGATATTAATTTATTGCAATGTGCAAATATGGTATAAAATCAGAAATAATGAGTGAAGATTAATAAATACATCAAAAACATCAATATAAAAAGAGCCAAATACCCTAGATTGTCGTCCTTCTTTTCATTTAGACAGTGCAATCAGCTTCCATTAATAACAATAATGCTGCCACAAAAAGACAAGGTTCATGTATGAAATGTAGCAAATGTTTGCACAAAAACAAGACCTTCTTGGCATCTGTGCCTCATGTATGATTTAGTACAAAATCAGGGGAGAAAGAGGGGGTATTGTCTCTTTAAATACTGCAGTTTTCCATCTGGACTGAGTAGCCTTTGTACTAATGCGGCTGAAGATACTGTGATCATGAACAGGTAATCTCAGGATTAGAATAGCACTCCAACTATGATGACTGAACAGTGAACAGCGATGATGTCCAATGAGTAGAACAAACTGCCACTTCAACGTCATGTGACCTCAGCGAAGGCGATGTGATTCTGAAGGACAAAGAAACAACATTAGACAGGCATTAATTGAAATTGAATCTAAATTTAGTTGAATTGTTTACCTGGCACACCCACATATAAGAACCAAAATATACATGGTGGGTAGCTGCGTCAGCATGCGTAGGCTGCAAAGGAACAAGTAATAGGTTTATTCCATGCTGAAAAAAAGAAGAGAACACAACGTTTCGGCCGTAACGTTGTGTTCTCTTTCTTCTTTTTTTCAGCATGGAATAAACCTATTACTTGTTCCAAAATATACATGTAGGTTTTATTATGTTTTAGACAAATCAAATCTTTTGTATTTTCTCTTCCACTACTGCCATATACAGCATGTAATATAATGTGTATACATACATATACAGCACATTGAAAAATAAAACACAGGTAATTTTATGATGTAGTAGGGAAATTCACAGTGATGGTTTTTGACATTCTGTTATAAAACAGATGTAGTTAACTCAGCTGAGGAAATTAATTTTTCATGTTTTCTGCATGATATTCATTTTGCATAAGTTGCTGTTCCCGTTGAGTTGAACAGAAAAAAATGTCCTTTCTTTGTACTCAAATACCACTGTCTTGAAGATAGACTCTTATTAGTCACAGTCACAAGAGTAATTTATCAGTAAGTCTGAACAGACTATTAAGTGTGCTGTTAAAATTTAATGTTTGCATCATTGCAGTTAAGGTGATATAATATTCCCAAATGCAGTTGTCTGAAAAACACTATTTGCCTTTATTCTGTGCATGTTAGTTTTATAAGTGGTCATAAAGCAAGCAAAAGCACAGTGTGTGGATTTGCACCTTTGATCTTGAGCAGCCAAACCTGCCACTGATAGACTGGTGGTACTGTTGTCTTGGTAGAGCCATCATAGCAAAAGGAAGCAGTGATGCATTGCAGGCAGAAATATCTTTGCTACCTTGATAATCTTGTTCAACTGCCATATAACCCTTGTCTGCCTCCCATATCTGAAACCAAATGAGGCCCCTGTGAGATGCAAATCAAGCATTTATGAAAAGAAGCTGAATCCACCCTGTAAAGATGAACATTTTGAAACAAGAAACAAAAGCTATTAATTTCAGGGAACATTTCAAGATTCTGAGGTCCTTCTGATCACTGAATATTTATACCATCAAATGTACAAAGAGTTTTTTACTAATATAGATATATTAGGAAATCAAACTGTACAGTAGTTTAATGTTATGAATAGTACACTTCCAAAAGCAGTCCTTTTTGAATACCTCCTTCTTCAGGTACATTTTAATTTTGACAACAGAAATTTTGCACAACAATTTGTCTGTAATGTAATGTCATTTCTGCAATTGTCGAAAAACCTTCAAAAATAAAGATCACTGGGTTAGCAAGGTCTTTTATATTCCTTCACTGATTTTTGGTTAACCTTCCATGTTATACAATAAAATAAACCAATTTTGCCCATGTCTATCATGTGAATTAACTAATTAACATACTGCTTTGAAGTTGAATGGCTGTTCAATTTCAACATGCGCTTCAATATTACTTTACATCTTATGTGGTTATGATTAAGATGAGAATGTAAAGTCCCTGAATGTTCCAAGCATCTGTTTTACAGTAGTTTATGCACTTTTTTCTTTTCTGACATCCATTTTCAGGAATTCCTATTTGACAAAAGCTATGATGTCAGAGTGATTGTAATTTCACATTAATCATACTTTATATGACAGTTCTAGTTTTGCAAACAAATGTAGAGCTATGTTTTACTTTCCACAACCAAAGGTATTAAGGGAGTCACTACAGCTCAACAAAGAATTTCATTTTTTTTGTGTATTGACAGTACTGAATACTAAAGGCTAGTTAATGTACTAACAAATATTTCTACATTAGTGTTCTTTATGTGAACATTTGTAGAAAAGTTTGTGAATAAGATTAATCTCTTCCAGTATTCTGGTTAAGGCAGAGCTGATCGTGTGATGGTACAAATATTGCCATTATTCAGTGTCAAATAATTAATTCATAAAATGTATCATGTAATATAATAATTTAAGGAAAAATGTGGCACACTTAACTGGAATCATACTGTGCCAAAGCCCATATGTTTATTTAGATAAATAACAATATTACTTTTATACCTGCCACTTAATATAACATGTACTCTACACACCTAATTGTGCACATACATTCATTTATATGTTCAACACTTGTAATGTAAATATTTATATCATTTTGAAATTGCATTACACAACACACATTATTTAAAATGATTTATTTTGCATAAACATGAGTGAAAAATAAAAGTCCTGGATGGTTATGTATGTACTTGCATGTGATCATGTTTTGTAAGAATGTCTGCAGTATTCTGTATAGAAAACATTATTTAGTGATCTGCGGCATTTTGAAAACCAAATTGTCTAAAAGCCTTTTTTGAAACCAGAAAACAACAGATGAGAGGAACATGGGCTTGTATCATTCTGATGAATTGCATGCTCTCAAACACGTTATCCTTAATCAAAAACGTTTCCCTTAATGCATCTAACTGAACTGATGATCTATCAGTTTGCTAACACAAACACTATATATGTTTTATATAGAGAGAGAAAATCAAACCACTCGGGGGGGATTTTCTTTTATCTTTTTTAGTTACCTCAAGAACAAACAAGTTTTTAATCTATAAGGCTCATTGTTGCCAGCTTCTAAGACTTCACTAAAATTTTTATCTTTATTTCAACTGCTAGCTTTAAGTACTATTGCTAGGGATGATGATGGACACATATTTTAAAAGGACAGCTGCCAAAGGAATCATGTCAAAACAGACAGAAAAGAATAAAGCAAATAAAGTTTTTCATAAATTCATAAAATCGTACTTGTGAAATTACCATGGATACACTGTATGTTAATATGTAAGTGGGAAAGTGAGGTGAATTTTTGAATAGGTTTTCAAACATACATTAGTTGGGGACCTGTCTTATTTTCAGCACAATCCAATTGCAGACAAAACCACAAATGTTTTGTCTCTTTGTTTATATATGAGAGTACTAAAAAAGATAACAGAATCACTTTTGTGATTTAAAAGTTCATGCTTGAAGTTTATGCCAGATCTCAAATGGAATGAGAACAGATGAAATACAAGTATGTGTTTTAGGTCATACTTGTACCAAAAATGCAAATCCAATAACTTATTTGCCACCACAGCAACTCAGGGTATGTTAAGGATATTATATTTAGAGACATTAGTTCAAATTCTTAAAAAGGTGAATCAGTCCCATACGACAAAAAGTGTAGCCTGAGTTGTGATGTCACTGGGTAACAAAAACATGTTTCTGTCAATGTGATGACTTAGTATCCTGCACTCGACCAGCATTAATGTATTGCCCTAGGCTATGCTCATACTGAATTCAGATGAAGCAGCAAAGTTGACCCCAAAATTTCACAATGAAAGAGAACGTGTAAAGTAAAAATGTATAAAACCATTTTTCCATGCAGCTTTATTGTCTTGGAAAACATGAAATCAGGGTCTGATGAAAGTTTTTATATTTAGCTATTTTTTAAGGAAAGTACTGTGAAGTCCAGTATAAATGTCTATTCTAAGGTTTATCAAAGCAGTGATGCTTTGGCAGTTGTCTATGTATGACAATAGGATGCATTCTTCTGTTAAATATACGTAAAAGTATTAATAAAAAAGCAAGCAAACAAAATTTCAGTCATGACTGCCAGTAGCTCTGGATATTATTAAAATGCTGCTATTTTAATAATTATTGGAATAGCTAAAGCATATGGGGTTTTGTTACCAAACTGGGTATCAGTAGTAAATCCATCCATGCCAGGTCAGTGGCACTGAACACCAGGCCAAATCAAATTCTTCTTTGCTCTTAACCTCCAAAGACTGGCAGTCGTAAGTTCTTCACACAGGTGCGCGTTGTTGCGCACATACGTTTATTGCCTTGTGTGATGAAGATGTTCGAACCGGTTAATTCCTGTGATCCAGGTAAAGAACCTTATGAGACGAGCTTTAAGAGAGTTCGACTGAAGTACTTCTTCTCCAGTATTTCCAATCCCACAGGGCTGTGAAACCTGAAGCATGTATTGTATTAAAAAGCAAAAAATACATAAAGTTTCATATAAAATAATGTTTATACTTCTGTTAATGGCTAACTTCATTCCAGCTTTATTACTTGATTAATTAATTTGAAAATTCCTTTCTTCGTAAAAGTTTAAATGATGCTGCCCATTTGTCAACAGAAATCCAGAGGCTGGTTTAAAAGATTTTTAATACAACACATCTCAAATATTTCCTGCATTCAAAATAACATTCCATCAACATTCTTTGGCACATAGAACAATGTGACACACATCTAATTGAAGTGCAAAATGTCTAACAATTCACTATGCAAAGTTCTAGCAGACGTGTTAAATCCATGACACATCTCCGTAGAAAGTACATGTATGATTATATTGACATCAAATGTGATTTTCCTTTGTACAACAAAACCCCAAAATACCATCCCATTTTGCTGCCGAATGCTCATATTAAAATTGTTGTGGAAAGTATTGCAGTTTGGATGAAACACTGTTTACCTGTGAAGCTGTGTATTTCTCCAAAGGACTCTCTACTCTTGGAAGGTTGATCATAGGCATGTTAGTCAAGTTGTCAGTTTGGGGTTTTTCACTCAGCAAGGTCTTCCCTTTAAAGTTATGGACCACACAAACCACCTTTAATAATGAAAAAAAGGAAGTACAAAAGAATAAAAGAAAACATTTCAATTGGGATTCATTTTTACAAAAGAATCATAATCCAGTATGGCGTAAACAATAAATATCACCATATTCCCTGTCATTAATTTAAGGACTTCCTGTTCTACAGTAGTATGTGCTCTAACTTATCTTTTCTTATGCTTAAAATTGCCATAGCAACTAACCACCCTGATAAATACAGCTTCTGAAAAGGCTTTTTGAAGCAGGCATAAATGTAACATTAAATGGTGGAGAATTAAACATTTCCATAAGAGAAAACTGACAGGAAATTAGTAACACGAATAACCTTATCTTCTTTTAACATAAGTGCTTTCTTTATGTTACTTCATTTCACTGAATGGAGCACAACACTGATGGAATAATAAATGCAAGAAGTATGAATTGAAAATAACAACATGTTCAAATGGATTTACCCTATTGTTTATATAAACAGAAATCAGCTAATTGGTTTGCTTAAATTTTTCAAAGACAAAGTAATATTTAGAAACTATAAAAATGATGATGAGTAGTAGTACGGCTATTTTAAGCTATTAAAACCACTTGCTGTTAATATGCAATTGTTACACAGTAGTATGCAATTTGTGTTCTGAAGACTAAAGGTATTGATGTCTTCTAGATATCAAAGCATTCTTAGAAAATAAGACACCATCATCAAAGTTGTTTAAAACTGGCTTGGTTCTGTATCTCTGTATGTATGTTTCAATAAAATCATTTATACAAGTAATACCATATCACTAATTTTACATTTGAATAAAGGCGGGCATTCTTTACACCATTGTTTTACTATTTTTTGTCTTTGACACATTCAGTATTTTCCAAAATTTAACATTTTAAATTGTTCGAATATCAAACAACAATAAAAAAATACATAAAAAAGTAGCATGTGAGGTAACTTTGTGAGAGCCATCTGTTAATAGGAAAAGCCTGTAGAATCAGGCACACCTAATCTGAATGAGTAATTAGTCTGATTGAAATTCCACATGAGGGAGAGGAGCTGTCAGGATA